ATTTTCACCATTATGAGCTTATTTCTCCATTAGAAGGTGGAATCTTGAAGATCAAGGTGGTGGCAAAGCTTATAGAAGAAGGATCCAAGTATGGGTCCAATAAGATTACATCATTTCTGGACGTTTGTGAGTAAAAAACTTCAAACTTACTCATTAGTTTCATAGATCTTGTTAATTTTCATATTTGTCACTTTGTGGTCACTTTAGTGCATAAAAGTTTAGATATTGAAAGTTTGTGACCTTGTTATGGATAAAGTTGGAAACTTTATCCATCTAAACATCATATTGATTCATATATGAAGGTTAGAGACTTGGACTTAATGGATTAAGTTGAGAAAGATGCATTTTTGGTCCCTTTGAGACTTAAATACTAGATCTTGGTTGGTTGGACCATGCTAATAGATAAAGTTGGAAACGTTATCCATTATGGAGCTAGTATGAACCATAAAAATGTGATCTTGGTCCTTTCTTCCCTCCATGCAAGAGTCATGATGATTTGGTTTGTGTATTAAGTTAGGATTTTGGTGTATGTACTCCTTGTAGCCATGGAAAGTCATAAATTTGAAAACTTTATGACACATAATGTTATTTAGGACTAGATTTGAGCTTTGGACATGAGATCTTAATGAAATAAGCACTTAATGAAAGGTAAATGGAATTGGTCGAGAACGTTAGGCATACTTGGTAGTATGCTAAGCGTACCAGGATGGAACCCCGTAATCAGGAAGGGATCTATTATGTTGAGCGTAGTAAATGAGTATGTTGGGTGTACTCAGTCTTTGTTGACCTCCTTTGGCTTTTTGACTTTGACCAAGTTTGACCTAAGGGCATTTTGGGTAATCTGAATAGTAGTTTGAGGTTTAGGTCCCTGTTAATTGTATAGGTAACCAGTAAAGATAGATTTTGGAGCAGTGATCGGTGTAACTATTCTTTCAGACTGTGAGGTGAGTCTCCTCACTGTACTTGTGGGTCAAAGGCACCAATGTCGGCCCACTAGATTATGTTGTAGGATAGTAGTGGTCTTTGTGACGCTTACTCATATGCTTTTATGTGCTTTTTGTCTTTGTGACTATTACTAGTATTATTGTATATGCATAGAGCCAATCTGGGCTTGAAGTTATTATAGACTCAGAGTTGATACGGACTTGGGGCTTGATATGGACACGACACAGCTATCTACTGTTCCATGGGGTTGATACGTACCTAGGGGTTGTTACGGACCTAACTCATCCACGTGATGTTATATTTATGTGTATGATGTATGCAGTACTTTGGGGAAGTCACTAAGCTTTGTGCTTACAGTTTATGTTTATGTTTTTAGGTACTTCCGTTTTCAAAAGGAAGGGCTCGACTTAATCGTACTGCATCCCCTAGAGTTTTATTCTGCACTTAATGTTTACAAATTAATCTGATGTTTTGAGAATACTTTAACTATAACCGTCTTTTGGAACAATGAATGAACGACTTTAACTTAATTGTGATGAATTTTTTTACTTGGTATTTTTGGGACGTTACAGTCTAAGTAACAATTTTTTTTTTTCAAATTTTAAAGTTACTACATAAGTATGATTTTTTTGCAGATTTACTGGGAATCATTAATAAATATACTGAATGATTTATTGTCATTTTAATTTTAATGATAAAAACAAAATATTGATTCACATGTAAAGTAAGTTAATTAATGCAATTGATATACATTTAATACATAAAGAAAGGCAAGTTTATTTGACCTATAAATACAATATGAAATTAATAAAATGCACAAAATCACAATATGTCATGTGGAAAAAATTTAACTGATAATAACAAAAAAATGACATGTGACGAAATCAATGAGAATGTGACATAGAAACGAAATGATGAATAAATAAGTAACTCAATATATACTAATAAAAAATTATTGACATATTTTAAACAATTGTTTTGAATCATAGATTTGTAAAGAATTCTTTGAATATAACAATGGATGTCATATTGCTAGGTTTATAGTTATTCTTTAAAATTAATATTTTTAATCCATTTCTGTTTTTTTTTACCGTGGACAATGCAATATATAACTGCCTATAAGTGAACGTCTATCATTGGCTTTTGTTTATTATTGTCATCAAGCGATACAACCAGTGGAGGATCTTAATGAAGCATTCACAATGTCATTCACTTTCGTGGTATGGTTTCCTATATTACTTCTAGATATATATATATATATATATATATATATATATATATATATATATATATATATATATATATATATATATTATGATTCTATAACACGGTCACCCAATGCTAAAACCCGTAGCCTCGTTCCATTACATAAAAGACATTTCTAATCAATATTCCTTAATAACATAAGTGGAACACAGATTTCTAATATCAACTGATGAATTGACAAACCTGATGGTTTAAGACCATTTAGAACATCAGCTGAGTATAAACTTTCATCAAAGTCATCGTGAACATAATCTGAATGAAAAAGACTATTTGAACTTAATCTTTTTTAGCACCCGAAAATAGTGATAACAAATTAATGATTGTTTATTTCTTGAGCGGCTTTATTTTTTGGTGCAATATTGCTCTTTCTTGGAAAAACATCGGATTATTGGAATTTTGAATAATGGAAGGATAGACAAATTCAATTAATGAACCAATAGAATCAAATGAATCAGTAATAAGAAGATCATCTCTGATATTTGTTTCGCCATACCAACCTTTCATTTTCCTATATTGAGAAGTCAATTTGTAAATGTTGATGTTTCTTAAATGACATATGTTTGAACACTTAACCTCATGTTTTTTTTTTATTAATCTTAAGACTTTGTAGTTTGACCAGGTATAGAAGGAATTTAATGGAGCAATTACGATATATTGCCTACTTCCGTGTACTACACATGTTGATTAAAAAAAGTTAAACTACTGATTAAAAAAATTAATTATGAAAGTCTAAACATTAAACATTTTTTAAAGTAAAATTTCGAAATAAATACGACTAAAATGATGAATATATAAATATTTCAATCTATATACGAGTTGATTAAGAAAATATTAAATAAAATATCATAAACATTAAGGATGTATAAAACAATATGCTTCCAAAAATTGTGTATTGCCTATCTTACCCTCAAAATAAATAAATTTCTCTGGAAGAAGAAAAATTAGGAAAAATTACAAAATAAATAATAGTGCCTTTTAGAAATATGGCATATTCTAAAAAATATACAATCATCGTAGATTGTTATAGGTTTATTTCGCAATCATAAATCATTTTCCGTTACAAAACTGTTTTGGTAGATCGTTTGACATTTTTTAATATATATAGTTATGAATATTGCAATTCAACTTGATATAATTTATTTTATTTAATTTTTGATATATAATATTGGTGCATATTTGAATATATCATTAAAATTATATTCGATAAAATATTTACCTTGTGATATAATTTATTTTAACAAACCGTATTACCTATTGTAAAGTGAACACGTCAAAATAATTTGGTATTTTTTGGTGTGAATTGAAAAGATAAATACATTCCATTTTCTTCACTTTCTTTACTTAGCCAAAGGGTATTACTTTGTCATTACATCATCGAATCGAATTACAAAACTTTATATTCATATATTGTTGATCCCTTTACAATGGAAAAAGGAGTTTTTAACCTTTTAACCATCTATTGTCTATAAAGAGGATGTGCGGTTTAAAAGTTAATACGCAATCTACATTGTTTCAAGTGGATACCTAGTTAACTCTAGCTATCATTCTTGTCTTCCATCTATATGCAGGTACCTTATAATTATATGTGCAAGTTCTGCACTTTAAGCTACAAGTAGATTGTTATCATGACATGTCAATCTTAGTTGATGCAAAAGAGTGATGCTTTTGAGGTAGGGTGCTAATTCTGTCCGGATCAAGAAACCATATCATAAGTAGAGTGCTATATTGGAAACACCAATACAAGTAGATTGCTTCTTTTGAAAATCCAAATAATAAAAGGCAAGGAAAGGATTTTTATTTCAAAGGATGATGCTAAAGTGTTGGTGTTGTTGCTGGTCTTTTCTTAAAGATTCTTTATATTATGTTCATCTAATTTATGTAACTTTTTGTTATCTCTATATTGTAACTTTCTTGTTGCTGTTAATACGTAATGCATTTTAGCCATTCAAAAATTAAGTTTGGTATCATTTCATTGTTTACCCTCCAACTTCATATATTTCATGTTGTTGTTCTATGGTTATTGAAAATTGAAATAGTAATTTACAATACAAAATTGTCCCTGTTTCAAAAACAAAGTTACAAAATTTCTCTTTATGGCACCAAAAAAATAAATTGGTCCCTGTAGCATGTTAACATTGCCGATATGGTACCTATGGCAAAAAAAAAAGAAAAAAAACTTGACAAAATGGCTCCTGTGCACAAAAACATTGAAAACTTTGTCCATGTTTAAGAAAAAACATTACACATATGGTCCTTGTTTCTAGAAAAACATTACATATATAGTCCCTGTTTCAGAAAAACATTACAAATATAGTCCCTATTTTAGAATAACATTTAAAAATGGTCTTTTGCACAAAAACATTACTGATTTGGTCCCTGTTTCAAAAAAAATACACATATGGTCCATGATTTAGAAAAAACATTACAAATACCTTTCTTTTCAGGAAAAAAATAAAAAATGGTCCTTGTGCTCAATAATAATTATAGTTTGGTCCATGTGCTAGAAACTCATTACAGAATCGGTCTATATGGCAAAAAAATATTACAAAAATGGTCCATATGCAGAAATTGATTACAGAAATGGTCCCCCATGGGAGAAATACATTACATAAACAGCCCCTGTGACATAATATCATTACAAAATGGTCCCTACGATAGAAATAGATGACAAATGCAATCCCTATAGCAGAAAATGTTTATATAAATGGTCCTTATTGGAGAAAAATACATTACAAAAACAATCCATGTGGAATAAATTCATTAAAAACATGCTCCAGAATAAAAAAAATCCATGCAGAAAGCATTAAAGTACTAAAGTGTAATGAACATCATAACAAAAACTCATGATATTTTGTGTTCTTTCCTCTTGCTAGAGGATGCTTCATCAAAACCTTGAGACGCAGGATTTTTGTAAGTCCTTTGATGGTGTCCATACATACCACAACGCGGACATCTGTGTCTTATCTTGTGCTCATCATGTGGTATAATTCTATTCTTTTTAGGTCGTCCAGGCGGCCGTTTTATAATAGGAGGGTATATTTTTTCGACTGTTTCTATATTCACCCATTGATCTTTTCCAGGCATCGGACTAATTTCTAAAGCATATGCTTCTTTAAACTTGTCGACTGTGAAATATGTATCAACATATTTGTCCCAATTAGGCTCCCTTGTGAAAGCAATAAAAGCAGCTGCATGCACACACGGAAGGCCTGTAACTTGCCATTTTCGACAACTACACTTTTTCTCATCCAATACAACATCCCAACGATATCCTTTGTACTTCACTTCTGCTTTATTATCACTGCTTCTACAAACTTGATATTTACCCAAGTTCTACATGAGAAAATAAAAAAAAGAACAAACTAATATCAGGAAAAATATATATGTTTAATGCATAAACAATTATGTATATATAGTTCCTTAACTTGCCTTAGTGATTGATTTGAGATACTTATTTGCTTTTGGAAGTAGTGGTCCTTTCCATTTTTTCACCTTACTCCTTTTCTTATCAAATCGTTCCATAAGCTTTTCTTTAATTACATCAAGGAGATCAAGCACCGGTTTATAACGTATGTCACCTACCCAAGAGTTAAAAGTTTCTGAAATATTGTTGGTAATGTAATCACACTTGACAAGTGTGCCAAACTTACTTCTACTCCATATCTTTTTATGGTTCTCATTCAAATATGAAATTGCATCGGCACATTTAGTAGCAATTTCATTTAATAATCTATCATGCTTATTAACAGAGTAGGTATTTGCAGCCTCCCATAGTTTGCTCATGAAAAAGTCACCTCGAAAATGTTTCTTGAAGTTGCTACATAAATGTCTTATGCATTCTCGATGCTCAATATTAGGATAAACCTGTGTAATAGCTAATTCCAAGCCTTTTTGCATGTCAGAAGAGATAACAAGACCATTTGGTGTACCAATCGTTTTTTTAGTGATGTGAGAAACCAAGTCCATGATTTTGTATTCTCTGCCTCAAGCACACCATAAGCTACTGGAAACATACCATTGTTACCGTCGATACTTGTGGCAGCGACTAACACACCATTAAATTTCCCTTTCAAATGACAAGCATCAAGCCCAATGTAAGGACGACAACCAGTAAGAAACCCCTTAGAGCATGCTGTTAATGATACAAAAAAGCGTAGGAAATGTTTCTTTTCACCAACTGTCTGTAAATCAATCTCCACCACACTTCCTGGGTTTCTTTTTTCAAGTTCTTGTTTGAAATCATATATATTAGCATAAGAGTCATCCCACTTTCCATACATATCGGTATAAGCTTGTTCTCTTCCTCTAAAGAATCTCATATATGGTACTTCAACATTGTAGGTATGCATAAGCCACTTTTTTTGGTCGGCAGGAGAGACATCGCCTTCAGATTTCAACTTGTCGGTAACAACATCAACAATCCATCCTTGAGTCGCATGTTTATTACCACTCTTGTTGCTTCGAGTACAAGAATGAGTTTCTATAAATTTCTTTACCTACAAAATTGAAAAAAAAAACATATAATTATGTTACCATAATAACAATGTTGACGAATGTAGTATTTCTCAAATTTTATACTTACTTCAAAAGTAACCCCATCTTGTGTAAGAGAAGCATGAATTCTCCACTTGCACTTTTTATCTCCACAACATGCTGTAAATCTTGTCAAATCACTTTCTCAATGACATACTCAAATTCATTTGTTAGTACATAATGGTTTAATGCTCTTCTAAAAGCAATTACACTTGGGAATTTAGAATTCACTTTCATAAATGGATTTATCTTACTATATGCATAAGTTTCCCCATAATTTAAAAGCTCATATTCGTTATCGGAACTATGAAGACTATGATAGCTTTCTTGACTTGGACAAACCGAGTCTGTCTCACTTTCATCATCATATTCATCGATAACTTTATCTTGACAACTTAACAGTTTAGGGTTATACCTTAATTTTTCGGTTGTCGCATAAATTGTTACTTCTTTCTCCTTATCATACATGTTTAGCATCACCATAAAGCTCTTGTCGTTATCAAGTTCAATAAAACATTGCTCTTTTGCATATTTGTCAACAAATACTATTGACAAAACAATATAGTTTTGTGATGGATAGTGTTTTTTCACCTCTTTAACTAGATGATTTAAATCGTATAAAAATGTGTCTATATAGAGACATTTGGTAGATCCAAAGCAATACACTTGCCTACATGAGTTCCTAGCTAATCGAAAGAAGCCTCCATATTTCAATTTAAACTTGAATTCCGATATTACTTGTCTGATGACCACAATAAAAAAAAACAGTTAATATAATTGAAGGGAAACATAAAGTATCATTCATTGTTGATAAAAACTTACTCAATTATGGGCGAGTGAGCACTTATGTCCCATCTCGGTGCATCAACCTCATTATCCATCAAAGAGGAGAATAATAAACTATCTATTGCAAACCAAATATAATTAAATGCAGAGCCAACAATTAATCAAATTAATCGAATACAAAAAGTTAATCAAAAACCAAAATTAATCTACTGAAGAACAAGATTAACCTGTTGTGATGAAATAACGTGATTTGTTACTATGTTTGTAGCAATGATATTCGAGTAAAGGAAGGCAAAAGTTCACACGGCTTGAAGAAGAAAACAACGTAATGAAAGCCTTGAAGATTTCACGTTTTTGAGGTTTAGTTTTGACGTGTTTGAGGTTTTGACATATTTAATTAGGTTTAATGCTAATTAAGCCTGGAAGATTTCACGTTTTGAGGTTTATTTTTGACGTGTTTGGGGTTTTGACATATTTAATTAGGTTTAATGCTATTTAGTTCTATTTATTAATAATTTTGAAAGGGTAGTTTAGTACAATCACCTTTTATTTTGATTTTTAAATATATTTTTTGGTATTAAATTGATTAATACCTCATTAAATTATAAGATTGGATATAAATGTGATTTTAATAGGTTACGAAGGATATATACGTAATTATGAATTTTGAAAGGATATAGACGTAATTCTTAATGTTTACAAGGACATATGTGAAATTTTTCCTTAAGTGAAAACCTACTCGTAATATTTTAACGAGCACTTCAAGTTCGAGCTCTTTTATAAGACAAATCCAGCCTTCATGTGGGTTTCTAGAAATTTTTTTACATGGATTGGTTAAAACAATGGCAATACTAAAAATGTGATCCAAATGGATTGTTTGACATTGTAATTAGAGACAATTATAATAACACTTTAATAGGATTGATCGTATCATTCATTATTTTCTAGCATCTTGACGGTTGTTTATTAAATCTTGCTTGCTTAATAAGGTGGAAACTATAATGTAGATGTAGTTCTGCATGTTTATATCACTAACCTATGATACATAAATTATTAAGATTAATATTCTTCACTAAATATAAAAAGACCGTAAATTTTATCACCAATGACAACCATACCTATTTATTTTCTCCTAAGGCAATATTATGAATCCAATCAAATAGAAAAAAATATTAATTCATCTTCTATTAAAAGAAATAAACGTGAGTCTATATGTCACAAAAGTTGTTTTCAAGTTTCAAATTTACTATATAAATATGACTTCTTTTTTTTTTTTTTTTTTTTTTTTTTTTTGCAGATTTATAGGAAATCATTAGTCAATATACGGAATGATTTATTGCAATTTAATTTAAATGATAAAAATAGAATATTGAATTTAGAAGGAAAGTAATGATTTATTGCCATTTAATTTAAATGATAAAAATAGAATATTGAATTTAGAAGGAAATCAAGTCAACGAGAATAACAAAAAAATGATAATGTTGTGAAATTAATGAAAATGTAACATATGGTACATTTATTAGTATAGATTAACATATAAGTTTGATTATTTGGAATAAAAAACAAGGCATTGTGGTTATTAAATAAAGGAATCTGGATGATAGGTATGCTACTCAGCTAGTGATTAAAGAGTGTTTGGATTTTTCTTACTTTAAAACTATTTTTGGACAAAAGTATTTATTGATTTACAGCGGTAACAAAATGTGTTTTTAAAAAAATGTTTGATTAGATTTCATAGTGATAAAAACCAATAGATTAATAAATAAAAAAATGTTTGACTTAATATTTTTTTTGAAACTATTATAGTTAAAAAAAAAACTAAAGAAAGTGTAAAAAAACCAAATTTTATATAATTTTAAAATTTTATTTTGAAGCTAATAATTTTTATTTATTGATTTTTTAAAAAAACCAATAAATCCTTTTTGAGTTAACAAACACTTTCTTAGTGTGTGTGTATATATATATATATATATATATATATATATATATATATATATATATATATATATATATATATATATATATATATATATATATATATATATATATATATATATATATATATATATATATATATATATTATGAGTAAGGTACAAAAATGATCCTTGTGGTATATTACATTCTTTATTTTTTATCCAAGGGTAAATTAGTCATCAAAAAAATAACTCGTTAAAAGTTAGATTTAAAATATATAAGATTTAAAAACCATAAGGACCAGTGGTGTAATGCTGTCTAACATTATTATTAGGTTGTCACTTTTTCATAAACCAAGGGACTATTCGTGAAAATTTGTCTAAATTCATTGAAAAATGACTAAATTGTGGTTTCCAAGTCATATACCGTTCTTATGACATTTATGAATTTGGTTGGTATATACGATTGCGAAAGGCTGGAACATAGGAGGAATTTATCTTCTCATCTCCACGAAGACTCTTATCATTTTGTAACTTGTAAGTCCGCTCTTTCGTCATTTATTGACCATAATCATGTCATTTGCTACCGACGGTGGCAGGGAACCTGAACCCTCTACCTCCGCCCCTGCTTCCGCCTCCTCCTCCGCCTCCACCTCTACCTCCATCTCCACCTCCGTTGAATGGTCACAGCCATGCCGTAACTTCGAATTTCCTGAAATTCTATTAGCAACAGAAAACTTTGACGAATCATTAGTAATTGGGCGTGGGGGTTTTGGGAAAGTTTACAGAGGTAAAATTATCAATGGATCAAGTGTTGTCGTTGCTGCAATTAAACGGTTGGATTCCATGTCCAATCAAGGCGCAGCAGAATTCTGGGCAGAAGTCCATATGCTATTCAAATTACGTCACTGTCACCTTGTCTCTTTGATTGGTTACTGTAATCATGGGAAAGAGATGATCCTTGTGTACGAATATATGCCTCATGGAACACTCGAAGATCATCTCCACAAACTTTCTACTCCTCTTTCATGGGTTCAGCGACTCAAGATCTGCATAGGTGCAGCTCGTGGGTTGGACTACCTCCACACTGGTACAGGTATTGGGTTGGGTGTTATACATCGCGATGTCAAGAGCTCAAATATATTGTTACATGAGACATGGGCAGCTAAAATTTCGGATTTTGGGTTGTCTAGAATCGGTCCAACTAATCAGCCATCCACTTACGTGAACACTCTTGTTAAAGGAACTTTTGGGTATCTTGATCCCAACTATTTTACAACCGGAAGGCTTACCAGGAAGTCTGATGTGTATTCTTTTGGGGTTGTATTGTTGGAGGTTCTGTGTAGGAAGCGTGCAGTGGATAAAAGTCTTGATGAGGAGCAATGGGGTTTAGTGGGATGGGCTCAAGAGTATATCAAGGAGGAAAAACTGAAGCATATAGTTGATTCTGATATAAGGGATCAAATATCCACAAAATGTTTGAAAGAGTTTATTGGAATTACAGAGAGATGTTTGCTCAGTAATCCAAAGCAGCGACCTATGATGACTGAGGTTGTGTTCAGTCTTGATTGTGCTCTCACCTTACAAGAGAAAACCAATACTTCTTTACAGGCTGCAGGCAAAACAATATTCAGTAGAATGGTTGATATGCTTCCGTTTCCATCCAGTGGGGAGAACTCTGGTATTTCAAGCTCCTCATGAAACAGTATCCACAAAGTCTTTAAGTTTGTTCATATAAGTTATATATAAAATTTAAACATGTTTTTATGAATCTATTTCAGTGCATAGTGATCCAAAGCTATCAAGTAATAACAATGGGGATATGTTTTCGGACGTTCCTAATTCAAGTTTGAAAGTATTCAAGTTTGCTGATTTAAAAAAAGCTACAAGCAACTTTCGTGATGATTTGGTGTTGGGCCAGGGAGCTTTTGGAAAGGTGTTGTTAGGTTGGATTGACAAGAAAACATTTGTTCCTTCAAGATATGGTGTTGGGATTCCCGTTGCTATTAAAAGGCGCAGTGCATCAAGCATTCGCGGAAATTCTGAATGGCTAGTAAGTATCATAATTGCACATAAACTTATATCTATAATCAAGACAACGAATCCTTTCACATTAAGTCTACTTCTGTAGACAGTTTTGATGGAGTTTCAGGGTAAATTATCTCCGTGATTTATTTCTAATAGTAGCACAGTGTTCTGGAGTATGGAGAGAAAAGAAAGGGTAAACTCTGTTTTTGCACGTTTTTGAAGCCTAACAAATTTTCAATCATACGCTTCATATTTAATAGATTGTAGTTTAGATGAGGCATTGAGGCTTAGTTTGGTAGTTAAAAAAGGTTATAAAAAAATTCACTTTCCTTTCTCTTCTTCAATTCATTCCACATTTGGAAGGAAATTTTGAAGCTCAGTTCCTTTTCCTTCTCTCCAATAATACTCTAGAATAATACTTTTTTTTTTTTTTCTCTTGTTTCATTCCATATGATTTCCTTTTGCTCCTAAAGACCAACTCTAGATCATATAAGAAAAGGAAATAATACCACTTGAATTAATCTAAATAAAATGATTATGTTCATTGGATAAATACTAAAAATAGCAGCATGCTTTCACTTTATCTGTGTATTCTAACATCTTACTTTCATTTCTCCCTATCAAAATATTGTACTTTGAAAACTCTACCAATTATAGCAATTTCATCCAAAGAAAAAGAATTTTTTTTGGGTAGATTTTTCAAAGTACAATGTCCTAAAAAATGAAGACTAAAAGTACAATGCTTCAATTGGGTAGATTTTCAAAGTATATAATGGAAAGAAAATCAAAGTCGAATGGTATAATGCACAGATAAATGGAAGTTTGTAGATGTTTCTGCCACTAACCCCTTATTTTCATTATCTGTGTACTATTTTGTGAATGTAAACGAGTCTGTTTTCTCATAGAACATTACTAGAAATTTCGATTTGTAAAATCTCTTTGTTGAACATAACTAAATCATGTTTTGATTTCAGTCAGAGGTACGCTTCTTAGGATGCTTGGCTCATTCCAATATTATTAGTCTCTTGGGGTACTGCAATCATGAACAAGAATACTTACTTGTTTATGAGTACATGCAAAACCGAAGTTTGGATCGCTTTTTGTACACAAGTAAACTATACGTGAATATCTCTAAAACTGAATTTTTTATTTTTACTCTAAAGAATGAATTATTTCAATTAATGAAGGTGACATGAATAATAATTTTGCAGGTGCACATGTTAGAGCTCAACCGCTATCATGGAAAACACGTCTTATCATACTGATAGGAGTTGCCCGTGGTCTCACTTATGTTCATTCGTCAAAAGATGAAATCATACACCGTAATGTTGAATGTTCTAGTATATTGTTGGATCAAGTATGTTTTTAGCTATTAATAATTTACAATTTTGTTCAAAAGCTTTCTATACTTATCATCTCTATATGCCATTGAAAATAGGGTTATATGCAGCAAATTAAAACATATATCCATTAAGTTGTTTATTATAGCGCCCTACTTTAATTTTTGCGAGAATTTCATATATACCCTTCTTAAACATTAAAATATCATATTTTCCCAACTTAACTTCTTAATATCATACTTACCCTATATAAACCTTCAAAATATCATATTTGCCCAAATCTATTTTTACAATGTTTTTAATAGTTTATGACCAGTTTTTATATCTTAGAATTATTATAATAATAAAAAAAAAGTATATATATATATATATATATATATATATATATATATATATATATATTATGCCAACGTCTATAATAATGAAACATATACTTTTAAATTGTTGGAATGTCGCTTTCTTGCCGCTTCATCTTTAGCCCTCTCCATGAAATATATGCATTGATTACTTAACTTTTGTTGTTGTTGAATGTTGTCATGTTTTAGATGGAGGATATTTTAGATATTACCATTGATATTTTGATGTTTAAGAAGAACATATATTATATTTTTGATATATATATATATATATATATATATATATATATATATATATATATATATATATATATATATATATGTTGATGTTTAAAAAGGGCACATACGATATTTTGAATTTTATGAAGGGAAAATATGAATTTAGAAATTAAATTGGGAAAATGTGATATTTTGATGTTTTAAGGGTATATATGAAATTCTACCTTGATTTTTTGTTCTTATTACAACAATGTCTATTGAAAAATCTACCCAATTATACAAATGTCATCGAGATACAAAGAAATTTTCAATGTTATAGTTAAGTAGATTTTTTAAACTATAGGTGCTAATAAGGAAAAAAGTAAAAATACAATGCTCTAATCAGTAGCCTTTTCAAAAAAAACGAAAAAACTGAAATTGCAATGTTGTAATAGAAATAAATAAAAGGAAGATGCCATAATACACATATAAATGAAAATACATTACTATTTTTGCATTTAACCCTTAAAAGTAATCATTTATATTTACTCTACCTTATTCCAGGCTTTTAATGCAAAACTAGGAGGTTTTGGGTTGGCAAGATCTGGCCCTGAAAGCGGGAAAACACATGTTAGTACACGTGTTGTGGGCAACAGTGGTGTTCTAGCCCCAGAGTATATAGCAACCGGTAAGTTGACATATACTGAAGTCATTAAATACAGGATCCGATCGATAAATTTCTAATTGTCTTCTATTTTTAGGATTACATCTACAGTGATCAAATTTATTGTGATAAAAGGCTGCTATTTATTTCTTTTTTCCGTTGTTTCTTAAGTAGTCCTTTTGTTTCTTTATATTAGTGAATCCTAATATTTCCGCTTTTTTTAAATGAACCGTAAGTAGGTTCAAGTGTAAACCATATTAAAAGCTGTTTAGTTAGCAATATTATATTTTTCATCATAATTGCTAATAGATATGGCCTTGTATATCATACCTCTAATTAACTTTGGTACAACTCAATGCAAAAAGTAGTAACAGACTTGCATTTATTTGTGTCTTATAGCATCCTCCTTTCATATCTTTCTATTACAATATTCAGTTTATGTTTTTTTTTTCTCCAGAAAATAGACCCATTTATAGCATTGTACTTCCTGTTTTTTCTTTATTAGGACATTCGACTTGAAAAATCTACCCGTGGTTATGGTAGTTAAAACTGCTTTGTATATGGCTGATGTTTTTATAACCGGGTAAAGTTTTTAAAGTACATTGCTTCCATTTATTTGTTTATTAAATCATCTTACTTTAAACTGCACAATTATAGCAATGTCATCCAAAAATACAAAGCAATTTTCACTCCTATAACTGGGTAGATTACTCAAAATACAATGTCCTAATAAGAAAAAAAAAAATTGGAGGCACAATGCTATAGTTCGGTAGATTTTCCATAGTACAATGTCTTAATAAGAAAAATAAACTGAAAATAGAAATGTGCAATAAAAAGAATTGAAAGTAGGGTTCTATAATAAACAAATAATTGGAAGTTCGTTGCATTTAGCAATTTCTCATCTACTATAATTGGGTAGATCTTTCAACGAGTTTGTGTAAATACACTTCAATGATGATGATTGGTTGATAACATTTTGAAAATCTTGCAGGACATCTTAGTGTGAAATGTGACATCTACAGTTTTGGAGTAGTGTTGTTAGAAACATTAACAGGATTAAAGGCTAACGCCATCATGGGTCGTTATGAGACACAAAATTTGGCAGAATGGGTGAGTCTAATCCTAGAAAAAACAAGAAAGTTAAAGTTAATAATTGATCCATCTCTTGACCATAATTACCCTAAAGAAGGTGCTTTCGCTTTGCTTACACTAGCATCAAAATGTTTTGCAAACAAACCTAAGGATAGGCCATCAAGTAAAGAAGCTTTGCTGAATTTGGAACAAATATATACTGCTAACGAGTATTGAAAGATGGATGAAATCTTGATGATTTCTTATTATTTAATCAATTTACCAGTTGCTATCTCTTCGTTAGTGGGCCCTATATGTTACATGTGTGGTTCTATAAAGCTAGCTTCTAGAAGAATGTTGAATATCGAAATGTAGAATAGGGTACTCCCATTCATTCATAAATCATGTTGCATGTTTGTAAGTTCTCTCAAAGGCAAATAGTCAAGAGAATTAAAGAGACGTACACTCAAAGTGAATACTCGGATCATTACTTTTTATGAATTATTCAAGTATAAATTGTTGGGGGTCAGCACCGTGATTGTAATCAATTACTAGACAAGTCACATACAATAATACCTACTAAAGTACTTCAGTTTATAAACAAAATAACAAAATGCAGGGAGCATTATGTGAAATATAGGCTGTGAAGTGTAAAACCATAGATTTCCAAAGAAATTATTTAATTAGTGACGGAAATTGTGTGGTTCAAAGCAAGTAATTCTTTTGTATGAGCGGAGCTAATTGATAATTTTTTTTTTGAGTAAATTATAGAAATGGTCGTGTGGTTGATCCAAAGTTTTCATATTATACTCGCAAGAAGTATTTGTCCCTTAGATCATCCTCTAACCCAATTATATTTTTTACCCCCAAAAAATAAAGTAAAAAAATAAAATAAATAATGTTTCAAACTAGTATATTACATTCTCATAATTACATAAAATTTTATACATCCCTTCTACTACTAATTAGTTTTTAACAAATATATATTTTAATTAGTTTTTAACAAATATATATTTTTATCTTTTTCCTGTTACAACAATATTATAAACTAGGTTATCATAATTATAACAAAATAAATTCATCATATATAATGAATTTTAACTAATTATTAATTTGCACGTTGAATATGTATTTATTTTTTATATGTAACATCCATAAAATCATGCTAAATTTAAAATTTTAAAACATTTAAAAACCAACATTTATTACAAATTTGTTTTCAAAATAGTCTATATATCAGAATCTCCCAGAAACAAAGTCATAAAAAATGAGGAGCTGTACGATCATGTCTTTGCCTTCCCGAGATCATCTGAGGTACCTAAAACCAAACTGAAGTTGTAAGCCCAAAGCTTAGTGAGTTCCCCTAAAATACCTATACACATAACCATATACATATAATCACAAACATCATACTATGAGTCCAGTCAACCATCGGGTTGGAATACCCCAGACCCTCAATCATCAGGTTGGAATGCCAACATATTATGAGTCCAGTAATCCTTGGGATAGAATACCCCAAGCCCACAACCATTGGGTTGGAATGCTCATATACTATGAGTCTAATCATCCTTAGGATGGAATACTCACGACCCATAACTATCGGGTAGGGATGCCCAGGTCTATTGGATTTTGCACAAAGCAGATAAGCCTCAACCACCAATCACACATGTGCACATATAACAGATAATCACATAACAATCAATAGACAAACAAACTGATATAATGGATCGTAGCAATCATAATAACATCCTATCTACCAGGATACTGATCTAATAGATCATACTAGCATAACGTATCAGGATAACAATCCAGAGGGCCTACTTCTCATGTAACATCCTATCTACCAGGATACTGATCTAACTGATCATACTAGCATAACGGATCGTCGAGTCCTTTCAGTTCTTTCTCAATTAAGATGCGTTTAAGCCACCCCAAAGCTCCATATTGCAAATCTAAGCTCCTAGGGCCTACTTCCCATGTAAAGTTGCAAACTTTATGTGTATGGAAGGTGCTAAAGGTCAAAATCAAGCTAAAGAAGAGTTTATAGGTAAGGAAAGGCCTTTATCTTGCTAAAGACTAAAGCTTTATGGCTATAGGGATCAAGATGAGCCTAGATCTGAAGTTGCAACTTTAGATCTGGCCCAACACCCAAAATGAATCACTACCATGCTAAAAATGGTTCTATTCTCAAGCATGGGGGGGATCTAGCCAAAAGAAAGTCAAGGTAACAACTTGTTACCTTCAAATGATGCTAAGATGGAGTATACTTCAGATCCACAACTTTTCCTTGCTCCAAACTCCTTGGCCTTCAAGCTTTTCTCACCAAGATTCACCATCTAAGCTTAACAACACACAAATATGGAGATTGAATACATTTTAGGGTTTCTGATCTCAAGGGAGGCTAAGGGATCCGCCAACTCCAACTTGTCGAGTTGGGTCCTCCAACCTGCCGAGTTGGTCACTTAAAATCCACGACCAAATTTTCTCCAACTCGTCGAGTAGACCTTTCAACATAAGTAAAAGACTAAAAAAGTTTATACCTAAGAGTTGGGGTGTTACATTATATGAGTTCGATACATAAATATTAGACTTTATATTTGTGATTAATTAATATAATTTAAAATATAACAGGATATTACAAATATTAAATATTACATTTAATATAACCAATAGATAAAAATAAACTACAAAAGTACAAAATAAAAAAGAGACTAAAATCTACGTGTAAAGTCAAGCCTTAGAATATGATGATGTAAAACAATCATGTTTGTTCTTATCAGCATCAACGTCTCCTCATCGCTAACGTGAAGCTATGTATACAAGGCATGTCAACGTGATGTTTATATTAAATGTAATCTAATGTATACATAAATAGACATATAGTTAGTTAATATATCCAATATCTTAGGGTTATCAGGTATAGTATATTATTTACATAAATTAGGTGATATCCATGATTTGTAGGGATTGACATCGTATTGCTTTAGTATATGTATTAGGGTTCATATGAGTATTGATCATCGAACCTTAAAGCTTTGTGCTCGTTCTCTTGGTGAGAACATTTTTCTTAGTAATTTTTTTTTGTGTTACTTCTCCGTTTTCTTTGATTAATCCTTACTGTTAATCAACATAAATCAAGGGAACCCACAACTGGTATCATAGCAGGTTACTTTGATCGATTAACACTGTCTTCATCATCATCATCATCATCATCATCATCATCATCATCATCATCTTCTTCTTCTTCTTCTTCTTCAAATCTGTAACGCCCGTGTTTCTGGACCAAAGCATAAATGATGATGTAATAGTCTAGGTCAACCTTTGTAACTCGTTTTCAAATAATAAAAAGGAATTATGTGGATTATGTGCTTATTTACTTTTTTTTTTATGATTTAATAAATTAAGGATAAAAATAAGCGTCAAAAATAAATATTAGATAGTCTCAATATCTAAGAATGAAGTTGTAGTGGTTTAAACAAGGATTTCAGAGATGTAAAGAATACCAAAATCCGAGTTATAACGAAGAAGTTATGACATATTGAACTTTTGCGACAGAACCGGCACAATGTTGTGTGACGTAAAAAGTGAATTTACGATAAAGTGTTTTTAGCCTTAGCGTGCATAAAAAGAATGTCCAAATCTGACATCATATGAGGAAGTTATGAATTTCTAAGATTTGGCACAAAAGTATGCAGCCCGAAACTTGTATTTTAGATCGAGTGTTTTTTAGCCTAAACAACCTAAACAAGAATCGAATATCTTGTTGGTAGTAGTTCACCGGTAAAAGACAGATGAAAACGGATGTCGGATGATGAAGTTATGAATTTTAATGGACTTTTCCTGTCCCGTCTTGTTAAAAATATAACTTTAAAAATGAAGTCAAAGTTAGCCAACGGAGTCTAAATGAAAGTTGTAGAGCACGGTCATACCTACACGTGGATATAAAGAACGTCAAAAACAGAGTTCGTATGTGAAAGTTATGAATTTTTGAAGTTTTGGGCACAAACTTCGAGGCTGGAAGAACGCCCAGCGTACCAAGTGGTACGCTTAACATAGAGATATATGCCCAACGTACTTCAAATGTACGCCCAACACACTAGAATCGATGGACACTTATCATACAAGTGTGACACGTCCGAGGCACAAGAACCGAACCAATGCCACGTTGCCTGGTATGCCACGTGTACTAGGCTTACGCCCATTGTACAAGGCCACAAAGCGTACGCCCTGCGTACCTAGATTATGCCCCACGTAATACTGAGTTTCAGCCACTATAAATAGAAACCAAGGGCTTACGGATTTTGTTTACAATTTCTAGTCTTTTACACCCTCTTTCATCACTCAAACTCTCCTAACACCCCTTGAAGTCCCGGTAACATCCCTAATACCCGAAGCAAGTCCTGAAGCCCCAAAGATCCCAAGAAAAAGAGTTTTTGAGCTGAAACTCTGCCCACGTGAAGCCTGGTTTTTGGGAAAACATCCCGGTTTCATAAAAAACGGTCGTTTTAAAGAAACGAAATGTTGCTCGCTTATTGTTAATCAAGTGAGTGTGTAGTCACTTTCACCGTACACATAGATATGAAATATTTTATATAAAATACATGCTATGTGTAATTATATTGTTTGTTTATTTGAGATGGGTGTTGAATGAACGTTTTATACAGGTTTTAAAATGATTTAAACTGTAAATGTATTTTTATCTACAAATATGTTGGGTATAACATGGGTAGATGAAATAGTTGGTTTGTGTTAAAATGATGTCAGGCGTCGATATTATTATTGTTTCAATCATTTAATAGAGTATAGATGACGACCACAAACTTTTCTAGACAGTCCAGTGGAAGGCTAGCAGGCTCACAACCTATAGGTGTTTGTGAACTTAGTGTTCAATGGTATACTCGGTCCCCCACATGGTTGCCTTATTTGACATAAATTGTTGAGGAATCCCCTAAAGCAGTGTTGTCAACCTGATGAAAATCCTTAGGCTAGGTCCCTTGTGATAGGTGTTTAGGGACGTAAAGTGAGGATAACAGGAACAGGTAATCAGGGTTATTGTTGGTTGATGAAATTAATAAATTTACTTATTTGTGGGTTGAAAACCCTATATGCTCATTAGACTCCCAAGTCTGACCCACTCACCTTTTATATTACAGGCAGTGCACCCAGAGCATAATTTGGAGGTTGAAGAGGGATTTCTGGATT